TCTATTCATTGCCTTTAATTAAAACATGAAAAAAAAGATAAATTTTAATTCAGATAAAAAATTTATTATGAACTTCTACTAAAAATTAAAATTAATTTAAAGATCATAAAGCCACACAAACCAAAATTCCATACAAATAAATAAAACAGATTATAGTGAATCTTACAGAATCCAATCGAACTTTTAACCACTAAAGAAAACTAATTAGGAAGGGAAGAAAAGACGAAAATGTAACATCACTGAAAAGCATCATCATAATTGTACATGGAGAAAGCCTCAACCACAAATTTCAAGAGTCATACTTGATCAAGGAAAGTTAATCTCAAAACAGAAAACTTAGCACGTCCTAAAAATGTTAATTATTCTTCATGCATTTGAATCCTTATTTATAATCTTCATCAAATATCACAAGAAATAAAAATAATAATAAAAATAAAAACTGCGTCAATCCTCCCTCGTTGCAAATGGAGAAATCACAAGAAAAGTGGCCAAACAGAAGAACCGCATAGGAACAAAAATAGCAGAAGAAACAACTAAAATAACACAAGGGCAGCAGAAACAATGAAACCCGAAAGAGTCATTAATATGCAGTAACAAATAAAATTAGCTGCAGGACCAACAAATTAAAAACAAATGGGAAAATTGCAACATTGGGAATAGGATAACATCACAGACAAATAAATACATACTCTTACTCTTACAAGTAAATATTAAAATAAAAATTTTAATTTTAATTTTCAGTTTTCATATTGATCATCATAACACAACATTTTACATGTGCAATTTGCATCGACATTTTCCACTAAATGTAAGAAAAAAAAATTAGAAATTTACAATATACTAAAAGTCTGTCGTTCTTCAAAAATGGACCAATTTGCATTTCATGAATTCCATTAAAGTTGCTTGATAATTTACTCCTATGGGCTTCCTCTCAATCAACCCCACCACAAACACAATGGCCCCATATAACCATATCTAGCATTCGTATTAGAAAGGCACCAACGGGCAAATTAGTCTTTTGTTATTTTATTATTGTTTGGTATAAATAAGTCTTAATAGGTTAAGGTTAGGGCATGATGATTATTGTCTTGAGTATTAGGGTTAGGATTTTGGGAGACCGCCTACCTCTCAAATTGTAGGCGCTAGAGTTAGGGTTTGGGAGAGATTGCCTACCACTCGAATTGTAGATGCTTATCTTTTATGCATCTGAGTTGTGTTGTTTTGTGTTGGTGAAGTAAAGAATTTTATTTGTCCTAATTTTGATGTTGAGATTCTTCTCTGTTCCTATCAAATTAATGTCAAAGCCTTCGTTGTCACGTCTCTGATTGCATCACATGATAGGAATTGCGACAAAGAAATTTCGAGACGTGAATGAACAAAACTTTTGCATGAAGGATTTTCGTGCCGAATCAAGCCTAGCGATCTGGTTCGCTACATAGAGGGATTTTTGTGTCCCTTGTGATCGAGGCGGCTTCCCAAACAAGATTGCAATAAGAGCTAGCTAGGAAATGACGACGGGATTTTAGGTACAAGCGTTTTGTTTACATCATGTTGGGAGTAATGAAGGCTAAGAAAGTAGAAGCTCTGAAAGAGAAATTTGAGGAAGAGATAAGTCAAATCAAATCTAGAATGGAGGAGCATTTCTCGTCGATGAAGGGGCGATTTTTGTCCTTGGAGGGCAGATTTATAGCTTTGGAAGAAATGATGATGAAGATTGTGGAGTTCCACACAAACTGTCACCACCAACAACAGGATCGAGAGAAGGAATTAGAAACGGACTCGAGTGGCAACACTTGGAGGGAATAGTGTGACATCCATACGATTGGACATCCATACGATTGGAACAAGCAGTAGCAGGCGAAATGGGTTGGAGGAAAATTCGGGTGGGAGAAGATCGATTTGAAGTATTCCAGCATGGAACAGAAAATCACATTGGGCGGGACGCTGAAGAGGCTAGATCCAACTGAGTCAGTGTCTTTTGTTGCGGTAGCCTTTCAGGCGAAAGAGGATTCGAGAGCCTATGAGGAAGGACGAGTTGAATATGGGGCGAGCCAAGAGATATCAATATGGGTCGAGGAAAGGAACCCAACCCCTGTTTCATTGGTGGAATGAATATCGGCAGAACAAATTGAGGAGACTCGTGCATAAAGAAGTTGAAAATATTGATCTTTGAAGGATAGGATGCCTATGGTTGAGTTTATCATGTTGAGAGATATTTTGGTGTTAGTGGGTTGATAGAGGAATAAAAATTGGTAGTGGCAACCCTGTGTTTAGAAGGGAAGGCTCTAGCTTGGCATAAATGGAAAGAACAACAAAAGCTAATCAGAACATGAAAAGAATTCAAAAGCACTCGAGAAGGGGGTTTACATGAGCAGTTTTTTGCATTTGTTCAAGAAGAGTCTATCATGGAGTGTAGAGATAAATTTGAGAAGTTATCTGACCATTTAAGAGAAATAACAAAAAAAGTGTTAGAAGACAACTTCATAAAAGGGTTGAAGCTAGAGATTCAAGCATCACTTCGTCTGTTGAGATTTCGAATATTGAGAAAAATTATGGAATTAGCATTGTTGGTTGAAGTTAAAAATTCAATGAAACAGGCTAATAGGAGCAGCACTAGTGGAGAATCATATTGAACCGCTACAACCATGAAGATGCCAAAAGCTCAAACAGTGAAAATCCATATGAAGACTGCATGTCATGGGACAAGAATAATGGACCACAACCGAGAGCAATGCTCAAACGTCTTACAGAGAGAGATTAGGGAGAAGCGAGCAACAAAGTTCTGTTTCGATGTGATGAGAAGTTTTGCCTCAAGACATCGTTGCAAGGTTCATATATTACAGATTTTCGCAGTGACAAGGAGGGCGGGGATGAAAAAACAAAGAAGACTATGGTGGAAGAGTAACACCCTCACAGCGATGGGGTTAACATCAAACCACACTATGAAACTTCGGAGGCAGATCAAAAAACATGGCATAGTTATGTTGATAGATAGTGGTGTCTCCCACAACTTCATCTCTACTCAATTAGTAAACCAATTAGAGCTTGAGATGGTGGATACGAGAAGCTTCAGAGTCATAATAAGGACAGAACAACTGGAAAAGAGGAAGAGAACTTGTAAAGGAGTGATTTGAACACTGTTAGACATTCAGATGATGAAAGATTTTCTTCCCTTGAATTTAGAGAACATTGTTGTGATATTAAGTATGAAATAGTTGTGATTCTTCAAGGAGACGAAAATGAATTGGAATTTTTTTATCACAAAGTTTTCGAAGAGAGACAAGATGGTTGAGCTTTGCGGTGACCCTAATTTGTGCAAGGCCTTAATGTCGGTAAATCCTAAAGATGACTATTATATGAGAGAGGTCACTACCTCAAACAAAGGTTGAGAGGATTTCTAGGACTTACAAGATACTACCGAAATTTTCAAAAGGGCTGCAATTCGATTGTGTGGACGTTGATGAAGGAATTGAATAAACATAACTTTCAATGGGGGAAGTGGCGACCCAGCATTTTGACAAGTTAAAGAAGCCATGACAAGTGTACTAATGTTGGTGCTACATATTTTGAACCAATATTTCTTTGTAGAGACGGATGCTTCAGGATATGGGTTAGACGCAATCCTCATGCAATGCCAACAGCTCATCACTTATTTCAATCAAGTGCTAAGAGCCAAAGCCAGACTCAAGTCCGCTTATGAGTGGGAGTCATACATGATCCAACAACAGTTTCTTCTTTTCCCATCTTGAGAATAAAGTGTCTTATTAGGAGGGAAGTAATGTTAGACGAGCAACTACGAGCAAATTAGTCTTTTGTTATTTAAAAACTATTTGGTATAAATAGGGCTTAATAGGTTACGGTTACGGCATGGCGAGATTGTTGTCCTGCGTATTAGGTTTAGGATTTTGAGAGAGTTCGTCTACCTCTCGAATTGTAGGTGCTAGGGTAAGGGTTTGGGAGATATCACTCTTCATCTCGAATTGTAGGTGTTTATCTTTTATGCATTTGAGTTGGGTTTTTTTGCATTGGTGAAGTAAGGAATTTTGTTTGCCCTAATTTTGTTGTGGAAATTTGTCTCCGTTCCTAACACATTGAAAAGCTACAAAACATAATTCTAAATTATCTCCCCTGCAGAAGTAGCTACTAATAATAAAAGCAGCTCAACTTCCCATAAGAGCATTTTTTAAACTCATGACCAATCCTGTTATACAGTATACACCTAAACACTTTGTAGTGAGAAGGGCCTCCATATTTAGGAAAAAAATTGGGTCACGATATCCTCGACTATTTTCTTTATATGCATTATTTCCCTTCCCTGCTACAATTAAAAGCTACTTGCATTTGTTGGAGATTCCTTCGTGAAGTAAAACATCTCAATACTGTGACTACGGTACAATGCAATAGTCAAAAAATGTTAAGAGATTGTGCCTCATGCTACCATAAAAAAGTTATAGTACACATGCAAATTCCTTTTGGTTGACCAACTCATATTCTACTTAAATTAGTATGTCATACTGATCCGCTTCTTCTTTATGCTTCAGAGAAACCAAAGTTTTTTTGAAATCAAGGAGGAAAAGTTCCCCAACTGTTCTCATCATTGAGAATCCATAAGCTGTCCATTCTCCTTAAACCAAATCTCAGTAGTAAATAGATTCTAACAGCAATGGCATGTCAAAACTAAACAAGATTGCCTTTTTAAGTTTTGACTCACCAATCTTACTATTTGTTAATGTGTTTTTGTACATTTTATCAGCATGGTGTATCTTCTCCAGAAAAGTTTAGAACAATCGAGAAAATCAGTCCTTTTAATGTGTTAAACACTATAATTATTGTTTACAAGGCAATTTTTTATCCAACAAAGAAAATCCTGGAGGAAGTCCAGCGACATGGTCGTTCTGTGTGACATTATACAGTTCATAGTACCAGTGGTGAAAGAGAAGACACCAGAAAAATTAGGGTTGACAGACAAAAAACAATATAGTGACATGTAAAATCCATACCAGGAATGTAAATTTGCATATTATCATCTCCACGGCATTCCATTCCAATAACAACCCCCTCCCACCAGCCATCATTCCACCACGCATCCACCGCTGTCCCAATCTGCAATGCAGCGTTCTCTGGTATAAAATTACACTCGGGAGATGGTCTAATTGTAAAACGGCCTGAAACCCTCATGCCCAATTTGTCAGCAGCAGCAACCTTGAAAGCTGGTACCCATTCCTAGAACAAGAAGATTAACTAGCACTAAGAATGGATAGAAAATGGTTTTAGCAATCATTTTATTTTGTATTGTATACATTAAGCTCAAATGGTTTTAGCAATCATTTTATTTTGTATTGTATACATTAAGCTTGTCATATATCTTTCATTAAACTAAGAATATTTGATTATACCGTACCTCTAAATTCCCGCAATCATCCTCATTCTGCAAATTGTCATATCTAACCTTTAATCTCATTTGAGTTACTCTCAAAACAGTACATTTAAACCAGCAACCTCTAATCCCACTATCTTGGCATAGAAGCTCAATTTTCTCATCTATCCTGAAAGGCGGCTTCCGCAAATTACGCGGTCCAATAAACTTCACCGACAGAGGTCTTCTCATGGTTAGATCACATCTCAAGTTACGACATGCTGGCCAGAGTTTTCTCGCATCATTTGTGCCACTCGACATCTTCATATCCAAATGGTCCTTCAATATCCTCTGATGACTCTTTACGAACGTCATTCTCTTCGATCCAACATGTTTTATATCACAGGCATTACGGAATCGTTGCTCCCCAGAAAAAGAACAGATATCCAAGGAAGAGAGAATGGGCTGATTAAAATATCCACCCAGAGTAGTTAAATCAAAGAATTTGAACTTCTTTTTGTTATATTGCCTGAAGCATAAACGAAGACCACATGAAGAAGAGTATGGAGATGTTGCCAAAAACTTCTCATAATGTTCAGGAGTTAAAATAGTAGCAACATCATCAACACACTCAGCACTTATGACCTGAGAATAAGGAGTTATAAAGACTTCATTGGGGTGTGGAGCTGGTGGTGGTATTGTACAATCAAATTCTTGGTCTTGGTGAAACCAGCGAACTTTCACTTTCTTTTGTCCTTTCTTATCTTCATACATATCTTCTAAATAAGCAAGATAGAGAGTTTCTTCCTCCGACATAACAAGAACAAAAGAATGGGCCTGCGTGATGAACGAAACACTTTATTTATGGAGCATTTCAAAGGGCCAATGTGTAAATAAGTCAATGCTTACAAAAATGGTGGTTCCATTGCGATAAAAAGCTTGGTAATGCTTGAGTTGTTTGCCACATATCCAGGAAATTCCAGACCAGGAGATCTCTGAGTGTTGGCCTTTCAAGCTCCTGCCAAGATCCTGGAATGATAACAGGAGCATAATTATGTTTATTCATATAAAATCCAAAAAAAAAAAAAAAAAACAGCAATCAATTACCATATGCTTATGCAAGAAGCCTCCTGAATCATTAACTCCATTACTTGAGATGTTAGCGCCTATAGGGTTTGCTGAACAATTTTTCAGTGCTCCTGCAGTAAAAATAAGTAAGATTCTGAGAAATCCCTTCTCGAGGGAAACATAAGTGATGAAATTACAATAATAGAACGGGCTCAGAATGGGAGAAGTTTAAATATGTGGCCATGAAAATATTAAGAGAAAATATCACCAATAAATGTCAACTACTGGAGAAGTGCTGAGGTCAAGAAGGTGAAAAATAAGACAAAACAGCTCGTAGATTTCCACAAACCACCTTTTTTCAGATTCCCATGCTCAAACTTTAAAGTAACTTTATTTTCAGAGAAATGAAACCTTGGAAAAGTTCCTTGTTTGTCATGAGAATCATTTACGTTGCACAAATCCAGGAGTTGGAATGTAGTAAAAGCCATTTATAGCAAAGTTATGATTGTCATTAATAAGAAAGTTGAGATGAATATGTGACAACATTAGAAAGGGTAATTTGAAAAATCATTATCTTGAACGAAAGGTATGATGACATTGAATGTCGTGGAAAAACAGATTAAGTGGTTTGGACATGAACAAGGATAATATATAAAAATGCACCAATCTAACATAACAGAAAAAAAAAATTCAAGGAATTAAAAAATAAAAGCAATAGACCTGAGATAAAATGCATAGAAGTTGTTCAAAATATTTATACAGCATCACTTATAGTAATGAATATTAAATAAAAATTCATACTGTGACTCAAATACTTGGGAACTTGAAACAATCCTGTTGTTGATGATGATGAAGATGAAGGAATTGTGGTTGTCATAGCACACGAAGTGACATGAGGTTTAAAAGTTAAAAAGATGCTTCATTAAACTAAATAAATATTTCATAAGGCTCGAAATATTCAGCTAATTATATTAAATTGCTTATAACAGGTACCCAGATCAATTAAAAAGCAATAATCAAATAAGATATACCTATATATATATATATATAATCTACAATAACATAAATGAGCTACTAAAACAAGCATGAAGCATCAACCAGAAACCAAGTTCTGCATAAATATTAATTCCACAAAATCACAAAACACTAGAAAATTTCAATAAGAATGAATAGACTTCACAGAACAACATTCTTTTACAAAACATATACAAACACAGTAAACAACTAACCTTCAAGAGAATGAGGTCCCAAGCTACAAGCCTACATGAAGTTTAGCATATCAAAGACAATAGCTTCAATTTTTCCAACATAAGGTAGATCAATCAAGACTTCTGACGCCAATCTAAGGCTGAAAATAGTATGTGCGCATACAATCAATGCCGGTGAAAAGTAAAAAGAGAAGAAGAAAATGGTGTAAGCATGGAGAAAATATTGCATTGAAATACCCTAGGTGCGGATGGTGGTATTCTTGTGGTATTACGGTTCAACATCATCACTAATACCACCAAAATACTACCGTATGTGCTATTCTGATGTTATTTTGGTGATATTATGGTGTTATTGTGCTACAATACCACTGTAATACTAACAATCCGCACCCATCTCATTCACAGGCAATATTTTCTCTCAAACAAGTTGGCATCGAAAGCAAGTGTCCGCCTATTTTTAAAGTCGCGCCACTCCTAGTGCAAACCACAGTCGAATCAATATTCCAAACATACTGAGAAAAAGAAGATCATCAAGATCGCAATATGAACATCAAAAAGCAAATTAAAATCATCAGAAGCCGCATAAAGAATTGAAGAACAATCTGAAAGCTGCTCATATGTACGAGTGAGCCAACAAACAAAGCAGCAGATGAAATCTAACGCAGGCAGACGAAAAGGAAAGAGAGAGCAAGTACTGGAGTGGTTATGCGACTTGATCTTCCCCGGAAGAAACGAACTAAGCCAATCTACGACCTCTCTTCTCGATCTCCACTTGAGGCATGAAACCCCGGACTTCTCCGGGCAATATGACTGGTGGAACTCCTCGGAGACCACATAGAGCATGTGTCTCAAGCTCCTCTCGGTGCCGATGACGGCGAGATGGGATTTCCCGTTAGAGTCCTCAAGGTAGTAGTGGACGATGCGGTTTCCGCGCTCCTGAGAGATGATATTCTCTCTCCATTCCACAAAATCAGAAAGCACCGCAGTCGCCGCCATCTCAGCTGTGGAGTGAGTGGCGACAAAGGATCACAGCGGAACTGAGAACATCAGAGGAAAAGGAGGGAGGATTTCCAGCGGAAAAGCTTTGGATTCTGCGATAATCTCTTCATGGGTTTAGGAGGGATCGGCGGGCAGCAGGAAGAAGATGATGAGAAGAGAAGAGAACGCATGCGATGGCGAGACAATAAGTAAGAAAAGACAGTCTTCGCCTTCAACGCTGGAAGCTGCTGCGACGGCGGCAAAGGTGCCGGCGGAGGAGGAGGAGCAGGCGGAGGTGAAGCACTTCTCTCCCTGTTTCCCTTCCCACACTTTTTCTCCACTCCTGCTTCCCGGTTTCTTTCTACCTAGCCGCTCCCAGGACCGCTGTGTCACACTGCTCTCTGCTCTCTCTCTCTCTCTCTCTCTCTGTGGATAGGTTAAAATGGCTATGAAGGGGGGTGGGTGCGACGGGGACAGGGAGACACTCTTCTCACAGAGCTCTAGTGCTCTCCAATCAAGATCACAATTTGCGGTGTAATTTACCCATCCCATTCATTTGTTTTCCTTTAAATGCCTAGCTTGATTTTTTTAAAGTTAATATTGTGTTTTTAGGAATGAAATACTATATTTAATAGATATTGGCATTTGGGATTTATCTCATCAAAATTTTATCATCATGTGTCTTGCAATTATTAGATATAGTTTATGATAAATTTCGTATGAATTTTGAATGTCTTTAGGTTTGGATGAGATTTTTTAAGTTCCTTTCTGTTTTGCCTCCTTTTTTTAGTTTTCTTCCTTGATGTTGTTTGGTGTACTAGTTTTGCTCGTGGGCTTTACCCCTTGGCCTCTCATTGGCATGTACTCATTTTCTTATTTGCCCTCTTCTTCTTCTCGCTTTGGTCTCCTTTAACTAAAATGATTAATTTCATCCAGAATACTTAGTTATATCAATTTTTACCTTTTTTGCTTGTCATGCGCAGAAGATAAAGTTTCTTTTTCATAGCAAGTGATTGAGGAGGTCCTAAGCAATGGAATCTTGCTTTGGTAGGCTATTGCAAGGAAAACATCCATTGTATGGTAATCTTCTACTGTCCATTAACATTGTTTGGAAGCTCAGAGGTGTTGTTGGTCTTATATCACTCATGGAAAATTTTCTTTTGAGATTTATTGTGTGGAGGAGTTTAAAATGATTTTGATGGGAGGGCCCTAAGTTATAAATGGAAGACCATTCCTATTTAAAAAGTTGGCTTATAATATTAAGCCAATCAATGAAGATTTCAAATAAACACAAAAAGAAGTACTTTTTTTGTTGTTGTTTTTAAAGTGATATCCCTAAATTTTGTTAGAATCTCTTTGTGTAGTTGTTTTTAAAGTGATATCCCTAAAATTGCTAGCAAAATAGAAGTACTTTTTGTTGTTAGTCCTCCTTGAACGAAGAGTCAACAGCTCTCCTTTGCCATAATCAAAGTTCATTAATAATAACATCATCCTTTATTCTATCGCCCTGAATAATGTTAAGACACCATTCTCCCAGTTATTTATGAATGGATTTCTATGCTTAATAAATTTTGATCCATTTCTACTCATGACCACTGTAATGGCCCCAAATCTTCTCATTACAAACATATTATCACACTTCTTACTCTTTGACAAAGGGGTAAAAATATGAACAAAAATGCTCAGAGATCCTAAAGATGTAAGAGCAAACTTCCTCTTCTTGACCTTCCAACTACTTGACTTAACCCAAACTCTTCTACTACACATGAGCACAATGTATTAGCTAAATTTTCTTCTAAAAATATTGAATCCATTGTTGAGGCTGGTGAGATCGTTCCCAATATGCTTAATGATTTTATTACTTTAGACTTATGAGTCTGATGGGAGAGATGCCCTCATTTAAAGTTGGACAAGGAACCACTTAGCGTCTTTCTACATATCCTCCTATAAATATTATTCCCTCTGTAAATACCTCATCGAGCTGAGTTATTTCAGATCCCTCCTCCCTCTCTTCTACTTCCAATGACAATAAAAACATATAAGGGGGAAATCCCCGCAGCTTGCCTTCAATATGTTATACCCTAACATTACTGCCTAGAATGTTCTTGGTTTCAATAATGATGCCTATATTATTAATCGTGGAAGCCTCTTAAAAGAAAATAAATTTGATCTTATTTGTTTTTTAGAAATCAAGCTTTTATTTCTGACATTCTTTCTCTCAATAATTTTATATTTTTTTTCCAATGAGAATAGCATTGAAAACCTTCAATGTTTATGCTAATTGATGAATTTGGATAAAATGGAACCTTTTTATTCTAGTTTTTTTTTTTTCCTATAGATATTACATTTCAATATATTCATGGTCATTCCTAATATTTCTCTTTTGTTAATTTCTTTGTTATTATTTTTTTATCTTGGTGATAATGCTTACTAGGAAGGAATTATATGAGTATATTATACCTATACTTGTTAATAATAACAACCCTTGACTCCTCACGGTAGTTTAATTGTTTCATAGACTTGAGAAAAAGTTTGGTGGATCACCTCCATTCTTATCAAACTCTGTAATTTCAATAAATATATTATCTCTTATAGTATTCTCAAACTTCAAAACACTAGTTATTTTTGCGATTGATATAATAATTAGTTAAAGAACCTGATTAATTTTTTGTTTGATAGAGCATTGTGTGATTCTATTTGGTTCAATACTTTTCCTCACTCTATTTTTAAGGTTATGAATCTTTCTTCCTTCAAGCACTTTCCAATTTATATATTTTCGTGCAATCCCAATAAATTGAATCACATATATATGCTTAAGAGCTACTTGAGTCACTGTCATAATTTTGTTATATTGTTATTGTTGATTAGAACTATCTTAATCGGGGTGATCCACTATTTTCCCTATGTAATATACTTGAAAGTATTAAATATAAGCTTAAAGGCTGGCATTGAAACTCCTCCGACACCATTTCTAACTAAATATATTACGAATTTTAAAACATGCAAGAAAGTGTTAGGCAACAACTCGAAAGTACTCATCTTTGCAATGATACATTACTTCAGGATTTTTGTAATCAAATTGAATTATTAAATGCTATTTCATGTGATTATAAATGGCTTAAACAAATGAAAAAAAAAAATTCTAACTAAATGTGATTATGTTATTAAATTTCTCTATCAAAAGACGAAAAGCATGAATACTAATAACTTTAGTAGAGAGAATTTGGTGAATAATAGTTGTATTTATTATCAAGAGGATATTGTTGATGAGAGTATCTCCTTTTATTCAATTATGCTTAATAGCCAAGCTTATGAAGTCAATAGTTATGCATATTTTTTTCCTATCAATAATTGTGTTTCAAATTTTCATTATGTTCTCTTTTGTGAGCTTTTACTAATCATTATATAAAGCAAGTTTTACGTTTGATTGCATCTAATAAGGCACCTAGTCTAGATCATTTTACTTCCATTTATTTTTGAATGCTTGTCGTGTCACTTTGCTAACTTGTATCAATAAAATAAAATATTTATTTGGCATAGCCAAACTTCCTAATAAGATTAAATATTCAAAAATTGCCATTATTTCCAAGAAATTGTGTGTTAAGCCTCTTAATAACAGTAAAACTATATATTTTTATAATATTATTTACAAATTTATATTTAAAATCTTAGTTGAAAACTTTTTTATTTTTCTAGATATCATTCATTCTGCTCAAACAACCTTCATAAAAAAGTGTGATATAGCTGATAGTATCATTGCGGCTAATGAACTTCTTTATGGATTTAATTTCATAATAAATGAAGAATTTTATTCTAAAATCTATTAAGTGGATGACTTTGATAAAGCGAATAGACTTTTTATATATGATAGAATGCATCAATTGGGATTTCTCTTTATTGAATTCGTTCAAGTCAAGTTTGTTTGACTAATTTTAATTTCTCTGTTTTTATTAGCAGTGAAGTTAAAAAATATTTTCTTTCTTCTTTTGGTTTATGTTGAGAATGTTTTTTTATCACTTTGTCTATTCGTCATTATTGCCATCATATTTAAACTTGTGGGATAATGTTCTTAGAACTTCTACTAGATTTTAAGAGAGTGAGAATTATGAGCTTCTCATTCATGTTGATGCTTTTTAAATTTTGGCAATAACAATATCATATATTTTCAACATTTGTCTTGCATTCTCTAAGTTTTTAGTCTTGCATCAAATCCTCATGTTAATGCTTCTAAATCTATCATTTATTTTTAAATTATGATATTTATACACACACACACCAAAAATGTATATGTACAAATTTAGAGTTAACCAAACGGTCAGAGAATTGAGGACATATGAAGGATCCTCTAATTAAAAACAAAAGGCCTTACATGTCCAACCGAGCATTAGCCTGCCGAGCCAAAAGTTTTTAAGGCCCAAAATCAACCAAGCTACAAAAGACAAAAATGGCTAATTCCAGAACCTCTCAGAAGACATAGACATCCATACCGTTGCTGTGAAGAAAATGACCAGAAGAAAGTCTAAATCCAAGGCCTCAACCATACTAATGCAACCAGAAGCTCCAGCAAATGGCAACAAGAGTCAGTAATCGATCAATGGCAGACAAACCATCCCGATCAAGACTTGAACGATTGCCCTAAACAACAAACGATTGAAGCCATTTTAGCCAACCTATTTGATGGCTACTGAACAATAGGCTTAGATATGCAAAAAGTTTATAATACATTGTTTGTCCCCCTTCAAAGCAGGGAATATGTAATTTTACATATTATCATCTCATCTCTTATTAACAGGAGGATCAAATCATGTATTATGAGCTTTTTCTTTCTTTCAAGGGTTACCCCCTCTTTGTTACCCAAATCTTCAATGAGATGAAATTGGTCAGAAGAATTTGGGAATACCATAGTTTGCCATAAAGAGGCAAGTATTTGTGCACTCTCCCTCTCTTTTTCTTTCTATATATATATCTCTCTCTCCTTTCTCCTTGGTTCCTATGCTTTATTTCTTGGGCGTGTATCATAGGCAAATTCAGATTCAACAATACCAATTATAATATTTGTGGTTTTATTTTTAAATATATGTCTTGGGATTACTTGTGTGTAAGAAGTTACATTTATTATTGGTTTCATTCTATTAGGCTTAAAGTGTCATAGAAAGAAAATTTTTTACATGATTAATAGTTTCTTTATCATAATGTTGTAGAGAATAAAATGAATATCATGGCTTGGAGTAATGCTACTCTGTCGAAGTATAATGGTTGTTTTGGAATTCCAACTTTATATTTCATTTATCTAATGTGTAAATCTAAGTTAATTTTGAAGCATTACAATGCTAATTAGTATTTATATAAATGGACTGCACTAAATATGACACTATTTCATTTATAACTGGGTATGATATATTTATTTTTTGGAATTATCTCATTATAGTGGTTGTCATAATAAGTAGCTTTTTATCCTTTTTATGTGCCTCATAATAGTAATATCTTTTCCTATTATGACCCCTGACTCAAAGATTATTCTCTATATAAGATGTTTGGCATTCCTTTTGTTTAATTTTCCAAAACATGCTTATCTTTGTGAAATATTCTTCAATGAAAATTTGTTTTTTTTAGAATCATTTTACGACTACTAATTATTATAACCCGACTATTTGTAATGTTTCTATTATTGGTGATTTTATTGCATGCCTTTGTAAGGATTCAAACTTCTACTTACATAAAGTTGCAGAACATTTTGTGTATGAGAATTCTCCTAAATGTGAATGGAGTTGGCTTGTTTGGTTTAAATGTTACTCTATTAAGTTGGCATTACATACTGAAAAATTATCTAAAGTGGTTTGACAATACGTGATGGGCTTAATAGTAGAGGTATTATGGTTAATATCAATTGTGTTCTTTGTTTGGAGGGGTTAGAATATCAAGCAATCTTTATAACTCTAATAAATAGCAACCATGTAATCTATAGATTGTACCCCGGTCTTCTCATGCTGACATGACAATATGAAAAAAATCTCCATGAGCTTCTTAGGATGCTTGGTGTCAACCCATAGAAACCATAATTTTTTTTAATGACGGACAAGCATTCAAACAATGATTTTCATAGTGTGCAAGTAGACCATGATATAAAAAATAGTAAGCATTTCTTATTTAATAATGTTATCGAGCAATTTTGGTACTTGCCTAGACTAATTGTATCAAATGTTAACTGTTGATTTATTTTCTCATAAAAAAAAAAAATCTCTTTGACTTGTTGCTAAGTCACAACTTCTTATGTGCTTTTATTTTTATTTTGTTAGCAATGTCTCATTCCATGCATCTACATTGCGGGTTTTCTGAAATTGTGTTTTACTTTTTGGAATTATTATGTTATCTTATCAATATTAATATGTGTGATTTAAAGTAAAAGCAAAAAATTCTTTTATATTCTTGGAAAGAAAAAAAATCACATGCTCGACTTAATCAAAACATTCCACTATATACTTTAACTTATAGAGTTTCACTATTATCTATAAGTGAATAAGATGAGATTACATAAACTTCATTGAGTCATGTAGATTAGGTAACAATTACCTAGAAAAAAATAATAATGAGCTACAATGATCATTAGATGATAATCTATCAATAACAATCACTGTAGTGGTTGACTACAAAATCACTAGGGGCTGCTGACTTTAAACCTATTCAAGGGTAATAAATATTATGTAATAATAATATAGGAATTTAGCTCTTAATACCTTTATCTTTTATGTTGAAAATTATGTTCTATTTATAGAATTTGGATAAATAAATTTTGGTAAAATTAGCCAAAATCTCATAAGACTTCATAAAGGATATGTGTTAATTTATTAGATCATATATCATTATTTTAGCATTTTAGTGCTCCGATATGTTAGAATTTAATTATATTAAACTTTGTGGATTTTCTCATAAAGATGCTCAATTTTACTAAGCAAGTCAAATTTGGATATCATTTGATATTTCAATTAATACTTCAAAGCATTCAATCATACTTTAATTTTGTAGATGTTTAATTTGTCTACAAAATTGGATAAATTTAAACTTGAATGATTTTTAATTTGATTCCACTTTATTTATATCCAACATATACAAAGATTTGTGTGTGATCAACTGAGTTTTTTGTAGACATAACGAAGTTCTTTATGCATAAGCATGTTGACCTTTTATTAAAATAAAGGTTGTTTTTATAATTATAATGACTCTTTAGTTTTATTTAAAAATTCATATAAAATTTTTAATATTTTTTAATTCATTTTTATCAGAATTTTAAAAAATAATTATAAAATAGTGCATTATGTGGAAAATACTTTTGGGAGAATAGTTTATGAGCTGAATACCATATGGCTATATATATATATATAGTTAAAGAGTTGTATTACTACTTATTAGTCAGATATTCATAAAGTTTTTAAGCACTGAAATAACTTTAGAATAAGCTTTAATAAATATATTAGTGCACTATATTAATTAATTAATTATATACTTATTTAAATATAATTAAAATAATCAAGTACCCAAAAGTATTATAGTTGGTCTTTGTGCTATAATAAACTTGTGGATATAACTAAGTTAGTTCAAGAGATCATTTTATATTCAATTCAAACATGGGTGTCGGTATAGCCATCAATGATGGACACATGCATTATAATATAAAATAATGACATGTATCAACTAAATGTATTATCAATGACATACATCAATCATATAAATAAATAAATAAATAAATAAATAAATAAATAAATAAATAAATAAATAAATAAATATATATATATATA